CCGAGGGGACGGCAAGAGACCGGACGGCGTCACTCTCTTCCCATACAGGCAGGGAAAGAGCCTCGTGTGGGATGCAACCTGCGTAGACACATTTGCCGACAGCGCCGTTGCAAAAGCCGCCCTGGAGCCAGGCTCACCAGCGGCAGCCGCGGAAGCTCGCAAAAGAACGAAGTACGCAGATATTGCCGAGAGGCACATCTTCGTTCCAGTGGCCGTAGAAACTACCGGAGTGCTGGGACCAGCGGCCACAGCCCTCCTGGCAGAGCTGGGCAGGAGGATCTCTGAGCTCACAGGAGATCGCAGAGAGGTCGCTTGGCTGCGGCAGCGCGTGTCCTTGGCCATCATTCGGGGAAACGCTGCGGCCATCCTAGCAACAGCATGCTCAACTCAAGAGGGCCGGGTTCCCCGGAAACCAACTAAACAAGTCACCAGCAAAACATCAACGGAGTCGAGTGACGCCAGAGACTCCAGCTGCGCTGATAGCCAGAAAACGAATCAGCCACCATCACATCCCAAGTTTGTTGAAAGCAGCAAGGTGCAGGCACAGCAGCGTTATGACGGGGTGGCACGGACCGCCAGCCGTGAGGCACAATCGCTCTCGGCTACTCGACAGCAAGAGGCGGACTGGAAAAGCGGTGACCCGTTATACATCGGTCTACCTAACCATGGCAACACATGTTACCAGAACGCTGCGCTGCAGTCACTGTTGGGCCTGCATCCATTTCTGAGTGAGATGATGTCGCTGATCTCCGGTCCTTGTCAGTGGGAAAGTGGCCAATGTGACACTACGAGCGCTGTTGCCAAACTTATGGTGCTCCGACAAAAGGCGCTCACTGAGTCAGTCGCTACCCACCTCAAACAGCTGCACGAAGTGTTTGCCGACATGGACCCGGTGTACGGTGGCACAGAAATGCAGGACGCCGGCGAGTTTTTGCTGCGCCTTTTGGGCACCATGAGCGACGAGATAGATGCGTGCCACCTGACGGATAACCCGGTTCGAGAACATTTTCAACATCAGATCCTGGAGAGTAAGACGTGCATCAAATGTGGTCAGACGGTGATGAAGCACCTGAATAACATCTGCTGGTTTGTCAACGTGCCACGCCGCCAGAACACCGACATACCGACACTGCAGGAAGCGCTACATCTCAGCATGTGCCCCGAACGACGCACCATGCTCTGCCAGCACTGCGGCCACGATGAATCCTGCGTCACCTCGAAGATCAGTCAGCTACCCAGGACTCTGATCCTGCAGCTGAATCGCTGCGCCTTTCTTGGAGATAGGCCCAAGAAGATCCGTGCCAGTGTTGGTATTCCTAAGATTTTGTCCTTAAATAAGTACGTCGCAGGTGAGGTCACCGATTGTCCGAGAAGTGGAATGTCTTTTTGTCGATTTTTATGCCCGTACTCGACAAGCACGCGCCGATGCGGTCGGTTCGGGTCCGTAACCCGACTGCCCCTCCCATCTCGGCTGCTACACGAGACCTGATGTGTCGCCGCCGCGCCGCCCTGCGCGCGGGTGGACGGAGCGCGCCCGAGTACCGCCAGCTTAACCGTGCCGTGCGAGCTGCCATCCGCCGTGATACCCGACAGAGTATCGAGGAGGGTATCAGGGAGCGCGGGCCGCGGGCCGCCTGGCGGAGCGTGCGGGGGGTTGTGGCTGGCAAGCGCTCTGGCACACCGGTGCTACCTCAGCTACCCAGCGAGGAGCTGAACCACTTCTTCGTCTCTGTCGGACCGCGAGTGGCCGCCGAGGTGGCGGACCGGGACCAGGGTGCTGCTCGATCCGTCGCGTGCCGTTTACCGCGTGTGGGGGCGTGTGGTTTTACTGTATCACCTATCGATATTGACACTTTGACCAGCACGCTGCTCAGCATGCGCAACTCGACCGCCCGCGGTGCTGATGATATCTGTATCAGGGTGCTGAAGGCCAGTTTCCCCGCTGTCGGCGCCGTACTCCTTCACATCATCAACTCCTGCCTGACCCAGTCTGACTATCCTGCTTCCTGGAAACACTCCCTTATCCACCCTATCCACAAGTCCGGTGACCCTTCCGACCCATCCAATTTCCGACCAATCTCAATCATTCCAGTCATCTCAAAGGTGGTGGAAAAGGTGGTTCAGCACCAACTTTACCACTACCTATCCTCAAACCACCTCCTCTCTCCCAACCAGCACGGTTTCCGTCCACACCATTCGACGGAAACCGCGCTGGTGACAGTCACCGACGACATCCTTAGTGCCGCCGACAGCGGGGAGATCTCTCTTCTGTGCCTAATAGATTTAAGCAAGTGTTTCGATGTCATTGACCATGATATACTACTCAGCAAACTGCACTTGTACGGCATCGACACTGCATGGTTTGCGGCCTACCTGAGCGGTCACACTCAGAGCGTGACTCTGCGTGACTGCGCCGGCGCCCAGCGTGTCTCGCCCCCGCTCCCCAACTCTATGGGCGTGTTCCAGGGCTCTGCCCTGGGGCCATTGCTGTTTACGGTGTTCTCAAACGACCTGTCACTCCATGCAAACGATGCCAAGGTTCTGCAGTACGCTGACGACACCCAGGTGATGGTCTCAGGCAAAAAGAGCGAACTTTCGGCGCTCATCTCTCGAATGGAAAATTCTCTCGCATCTTTGGATAACTGGTTCTGCGCGAACGCCCTCAAGGTCAACGCGAACAAAACTCAACTCATTGCTCTTGGAAACCGTCAAAATTTGCGCAAACTACCAAATTTCACAGTCGCCTTCCGTGACACAAATCTCGTGCCTTGTAACGAGGTGAAAATCTGGGTGTGACTTTCGACTCAAACATGTCCTGGGACTGTCACGTGGGTGCCGTCAGCCGCCGCTGCACTGGGACCCTCATCGGTCTCTCACAGGTACGACACGTCGTGCCCCGGGGCATATTCGTCTCTCTTGTGACAGCCCTGGTTCTCTCGCAGGTTCGCTATTGCATATCAGTTTATGGCAACGGCTCAAAAAAGAACACAGCTAGAATCCAAAAAATCCTTAACTTTGCAGCAAAAGTTATTTTCGGCCGGAGAAAATTTGACCATGCGAGTGACCTGCTGGAGAACCTGGGCTGGCTGGGGGCTCAGCAACTCGCTGAGTACAGTACGCTCTGCCTCACGCAGAAACTGGTCTCGAGTGGCGAGCCAGTCTCCCTCGCGGCCGTCCTCCGCTCGAACTCGGACGTACGTGAGCGCACGACCAGGCAGGACAGTCATCTCCATGTACCACGGTCAAGAACCGAGGCGGGGAAACGGCGTTTCTGTGCGAGAGCCCCGAGGCTTCACAACCAGCTGCCACCTGAGACCGTTTCCCTCAGAGGGAAACGCTTCCAACGAGCCCTGAAGCGACAGATGCGGAGCCGGACGCTGTCTTTAAACTGAAGTAAGGTCGTCTGACTCAGTGTGTGTGCGTGTGTGTGTGTGACTTGGTATGTTTCGGTTGGATGACTAATTGTTTTGTACACATCTGGTATCTACCCTATTCTCTGACTCGGAGCTTGAAAAGCCACTGTTGCTGTGGAGTGCTCTTCAAAATAAATACAATACAATACAATACGATTCCCTACATCGGCGCCCAACAATGGGCACGCTCAGCGACGCCGAGGAGTCTGAGCCGGACCACTCAGGACTACCGCTCGCCTCTGGACCGTCACCTCCAGTTCGAGCTGCCACTCCGCTGGATCCAGTCGGGGCCACAGCACCACTGCGAATCACGACATCGGTTCCTCCCTCGTCAGAGGTGGCTGCAGCAGAGATGTCAATACCGCCATCCAAGCTAGACCTCGCCGAATCCGAGTGGAAGCCGCCACAGACTAACGAAGACAAAAACTGTGAACCGCAGGAGGTTAAAATACGGCAAACAGAAGTGACAGAGGCCTCTGAACAGGCACAGCTGCCAGAGCCCCACGCGGGGGATAACCTGTCGCCGTGCCCGGCGAACCTGGCCGGTGACCACGCGTACCAGCTAGTAGGCGTGGTAAGCCACTATGGCGGCGATACTCACGCGGGCCACTTCGTGGCCACCGTTTACAGCGCTGAACGCGAATGCTGGTTCCGCTACGATGACCACCGAGTTTGTCGAATCCGCGAATCGGATGCACTCGGTGAAAGCCAGCAGAGAGATGGCTACATGTTTTTCTACACACTTGAAAAGTTGCGGCCCCAGACAGAAAAGTGGCCAATGCCGAAATGTCAGCAACGGCTATGGAGCGGGGAGGGGGGCCGCACTCACCCGTAAGTGTTTGTAATGTGGTGGCGTCAGGATGGTATGTGCTTAGAAGCGCCAATCCTTATCTTGTTACATTGTTTACACGGGATTGAAAGTGCCCATTCACATATTTTGCGATTGAATGCATTGGATTGTGCCGCGTGACTAAGGAAAGAATGAATAAACATAGCTCTCTTAAAAATCGTGTAACTATATTTGAAAATAATTCATATTCTGTAAAGAAAAGTCACGTGATGTTACCACATTCTGTGTTAGGACAGCATCTTCTTGAGCTTCGAATTAGGGTACTTTTTACCTCTTTGAGGCAAAGTAATGGACGTTTTCAGATAGGAAATAAAATGCTGAGTCTAATGAGGACAAGATTCAATCATTTTTGCACTTCCAAAGTGAGATATCCTCGAATGAGCTATGGATAGTGTGGTGTATTCTGTACCTACCTGTACGTACCGGCGAGGCGGTTCACTGTTGCTGAGCTGTGCTGAGCTGTGAGCTGGCAGCGGCCGGCGGTCGACCGATTGTGCCCCGGAGGCACGTGACGTAACGTGGCTGACCTGGCGCTCGGGCGCAGCTCCGGGCGGGGAGTCGAGCTGCGGCGGTCGCGCGGAGCGGCCGGAGTGGTCACGCATTTCGCGCATTTCAAGTCAGCTGTATGTCTTTATTTTCTTGTTTCGTTTGTGAGTCAATGCATTATCAAGAAGCACTTACCTCTTTGGAATGACAGTCGGCCGAGACGGAGAACTGCTGAGGGACACGACACTACATTTCTGGCGACGAGGATGGCAGCGTTTTCGGCGACTCCTCCGAGTGAGTACTGGCAGAACCCAGGTCAGAAGCCTAAGCAGTTGTGGCAGGATTGGTATGCCGACTTCGTGCTGTATGGAGAGGCGTCTGGATGGGATGTCTGGTCAGATTCTAGGAGGAAGGCTCTGCTGTTGCATTGTGTGGGCGCCGAGGCGCGACGTCTGTTTCGTGCACAGGAGACTGAGACAGTGGCCAAGCCTGAGATTGTGGGAGGGGAGGATGGGACTGGAGGATCCCCGACCCCGTCCGTATATGATCTGACAGTGCAGACGTTGGCCAAACTGTTCATGCGTGACTCTGATGTGAGGACGGAGCGAGTTAAGCTCAGGCGGTGCACTCAGGCGCCGGGCCAGTCTTCGCTCATTTTCCTGGCCAATCTGAAGGAGGCTGCTGTGAAGTGTGCATTTGGCCCACTGCGTGACGACATGATCCGTGACCAGTTCGTGGAAGGATGTGTTTCAGAACAGCTGAGAGACAAGCTCATCATGACCGACGGCTTAACGCTGACGGCGTTGGAGGCCATAGCTGAAGCTGCAGACCGTGGAGCACAGCGGAGGAGCGTCCTGAAGGAGGCCTTCTCGCCGGCTGTCTCCGGACCGACTCCAGTGGTTGAAGTGGCCTACGCCAAGGAGACGCCAGCCAAGGTGGGACGAGGTGCGTGTGGCATGTCCAGGACTCGGGCTGGGAAGTGTCATGCCTGTGGTCGGGAGGGTCACTGGGCTCGTGATGCTCACTGTCCGGCTCGAGATAAGCGGTGTAACCTATGTGAAGGTATGGGACACTTCCGCAAGTGTTGTACGGCTAAGGATCTTAAGGCTGTGAAGAAGAAGAAAATGAATGTTGTGCAGATTCTGTCTCTTCAGCAGCAGGCTCCTGCAGACGGTCCCTGGTACGAGGTGCAGATCGGCGGCCAGCCAGTAACCATGATGGTCGACACGGGAGCAGCCGTCAGCGTGATTCCTGCGGACCTGTACCAGAGCAAGCTGTCGCACTTCAAGCTCAACCAACCGAAGGTGAGGCTCAGCGCCTACGGAGGCAAGTCTGTCACTGTCCGGGGTGTGATCACTGTTCCTGTGACGTCATCGTCTGGTCAGACTGCTCAAGCTGATGTGTATGTTGCCGAGGCGGGTATGGCTCTGCTGGGTAGAGATCTTCAGAGGATGTTGCACATCACTGTGAAGAATGGTACCACTGTCTGTCTGGTTGACCATGTCAAGCCCCTGCCTGCCATCAGCGGTTTCGTGCACAAGGTGCAGCTGAAGCCGGACGTGACGCCGACGAGAGGCAAGCCCAGGACGTTGCCGTACTCGGTGCGGGACGAGGTGACGCAGCACCTGCTGGAGCTCGAGGCCCAGGGGATCATCGAGCGGGTGGAGACTCACTCTTCGCCCTGGCTGTCACCCGTCGTGGCAGTACGCAAGAAGACGGGCAAGTTGCGTGTCTGTCTGGATCTGACAGAATGTAACCGGGCTGTGGTGGCTAAGGGCATCCTCTTCCTCACATGCAGGAAATGATTGACCGCCTGCAGGGTGCAGCCATGATGTCCACGCTGGATCTTCGCTCGGCATACCACCAGCTGATGCTGCACGAAGGATCCAGGGAGCTAACAGCGTTCATTCACGAAGGTCAGACGTGGCAGTATGTGAGATGTCCGTTTGGTCTCAAATCACTCCCGCAATGCTTTCAGAAGATGATGGAGAGCATTCTCGCGGGTCTGAAGGGAGTTCAAGTGTACCTTGACGATGTGATTGTCTGGGGTAGCACTGAGGCTGAGCATGACGACAGGCTGCAACAGGTGGTCCGGCGGATGCACGAGAGGAATGTGACTCTGAACTGGGGCAAGTGTAAGATCCGAGTGTCTTCTGTCCAGTTCCTTGGCTTCACTGTCTCTGCGAGAGGCGTGTCTGTTTCGCAGGACCGGGTGCAGGGCCTGAAGGACATGCAGCAGCCCTCGACGAAGAAGAAGCTGCAGTCGGTGCTGGGGATTCTCGGCTTCTACTCGAAGTTCGTGAAGAACTTCAGCAGCCGCGTGGAGCCGCTGCGCCGTCAGCTGCGGAAGGACGCGCCGGCGTTCAAGTGGACAGAGGAGATGACGGCCGCTCTGGATGACGTCAGAGATGCCATCCTGAACTCCGATCTGCTCGCCATCTTCGATCCAGCTCTGGAGACGTGTGTCACCACCGACGCCAGCGACGTCGGCATCGGTGCGGTACTGACACAACTGCATCCTGAAGGTGAGCGAGTCGTGGCCTTCGCTTCGTGTACGTTGTCATCAGCCCAACGGCGCTACAGCGTAACTGAACGTGAGGCTCTCGCGTGTGTCTGGGCGTGCGAGAAATGGCACCGCTACCTCTGGGGTCACGAGTTCGTGACCCGAACTGACCATGCCGCTCTTCGCACTCTCTTGACTGCCAGTGGCATAGGCAGGGCTGGCATGAGACTGTCTAGGTGGGCTGCGAGGTTGATGACGTACTCTTTCACTGTTGAGCATGTGAAGGGTGTCTCAAACCCAGCTGACGGTCTGTCCCGCTTGCCAGGTCCTGAACAGCACGTGGAGGACGAGTCGCAGCTCGTGGCGGCTCTGACGACTGACGCCGATGCCGTAAGCCGTGCTGAGCTGGCCGACGCTGTTGCAGGAGATGCAGTTCTGACGCGCCTCGCTGACCAGATCCCGCAGAGGTGGCCTCGCCGACTCGCTGACGTGCCGGAGGATCTGAAGCCGTTCTACCGGTTCAGGGCGGAGCTGATCCTGCTGGATGGACTGGTTCTGCGAGGTGGGAGGATTGTAGTACCTGCCAGACTGCAAGAAAGGTTAGTGGCACATGCTCACGATGGGCACCAGGGCATGGTGCGTACGAAGCAGCGGTTGAGGGGATCCTACTGGTGGCCGGGCATGGATGCAATGGTTGAGTCAGCTGTCAAAACCTGTGACATGTGTATGACGTCAGACAAGTCTGCAAAGCCCCGTAAGGCACCACTGTGTCCCGTGCCGTTCCCCGATAGGCCCTGGGACAAGTTGGGCATTGACTTCATTGGACCGATGCAGGGACCCGCCCAGCAGCAATATGCTATCGTGTTGGTTGATTATTACTCGAAGTGGGTGGAGATGGCCTTCGTCCGTGAGCCGTCATCTGATGCAGTCGTGGAATTTCTGTCCACAGTGGCTTCCCGTGAAGGCTTTCCACGCCAGCTGGTGTCTGACAATGGCACCCATTTCACCTCCAGGAAGTTCGAGGAGTACCTGAGGAGTGTCGGCATTGAACACATCCTGGTCTCGCCCTACCACCCGGCAGGATCTGGCGCGGTGGAGCGTGTCAACCGCTCCATCAAGTCGGCGCTGCAGATGGCGGAGGCTGCGGGGGAGGACCGGACAACGTTCATCCGCAACTACCTCATGAACTACAGGGCTACGCCGCACGCCACTACCGGTAAAAGCCCTTCTGAACTGTTGCATGGACGTGTACTTCGTACCAAGCTGGACGCAGCTTCTGCACATGTTGGACGTTCTGATGACGCGTCTGTGAGGGTCCGTGTTGGGCGTCAGCAGCAGAAGCAGAAGGCGTGGTGGGACAAACGTAACGGTGTTCGTGTACCGCAGTTTGGCCCTGGTGACCGCGTCCGTGTTGAACTGATGCCCCGTCCCCGCAAGGGACGGCCGCGCTTTTCACAGCCTCGTCGCATCGTGCAGCAGACCGGCCCGGTGTCGTACCGACTGGACGACGGCACGCGGGTGCATGCCGAGCGGGTGACCAGAGCTCCGGATGTTCCTGACGCGGGAGCAGCTGATGCAGCTGGTCCGCCTGCTCACCGTGCTGTGGCCGACGCAGACGACTCTGGCTCAAGCGATCCTGACTCTGGCTCGGGTCCCGTCGAGGAGACTGAACCCGACGTGACCGACGCTGGCGGTGGGGATGGCCGTGGTGTGTCTGGCCGGCAGGCTACGGGGGTGACACGGTCTGGGCGAGTGGTATATAAGCCTGACCGTTATGGCTTTCCTTAAAGGAGGGGGAAAATGTGGTGTATTCTGTACCTACCTGTACGTACCGGCGAGGCGGTTCACTGTTGCTGAGCTGTGCTGAGCTGTGAGCTGGCAGCGGCCGGCGGTCGACCGATTGTGCCCCGGAGGCACGTGACGTAACGTGGCTGACCTGGCGCTCGGGCGCAGCTCCGGGCGGGGAGTCGAGCTGCGGCGGTCGCGCGGAGCGGCCGGAGTGGTCACGCATTTCGCGCATTTCAAGTCAGCTGTATGTCTTTATTTTCTTGTTTCGTTTGTGAGTCAATGCATTATCAAGAAGCACTTACCTCTTTGGAGTGACAGTCGGCCGAGACGGAGAACTGCTGAGGGACACGACACTACAGATAGTTTGTGTGTTAAGCCTATTGTGAAGAGAAACCTTCACGCCCGGCTGACGTCACAAACCTCGGCTACCAAATCGTGTCCGGTGGGGGTCGGGTGAAACTGCAATGTAGGCGCGGCGCCGCTGCGGCGCGCGGTGGAGCGGGGGTGCGGGCTCCCAGTCGTGCGCCGCTCCGCTCAAGCCGGCTCGCTCTTCTCTCTGCCCCGGTTGCCTCCCCGCTCTGCCTGCCTGGAGACCCGGGACTACCTCCCCTCGGTTTGCGAGTAGTATCGCCCATGTTCCTAGAGGTGGACATTTTCGTATGACTTTTACTCTGTTTGTACTTGATTTTGCTGTACAGGGTGTCCCGAAATTGATGTCCTCTCCCATTGCGTGCAATAACATCAAAACAAAAAATGACCGGTTCATGATTTATTTGTTGATGTATCCACCACGCTTCCGCACACATGCCCGCATGCGCTCCGGCATGCCACACATCAGGTTGTCGAGAGTTTCTCCAGAAATGCTGCTCCAGGCCGATCGGAGGTTCCTGATGAGGGCAGTTTCGGACGACGCTGGTGCCATCTTGTCCATCCTGTCCTGGACGATTGACCACAGGTTCTCGATTGGCGACAGGTCCGGGCTGTTACCTGGCCATTCTCCTTTAGCCCAGAAGCCAGGGAAGTTGGCCCGGCACCACTCCTGGGTCTTGGTGGCGTTGTGAGCCGGGGCACCGTCCTGTTGGAAAATGGCCTGTGACATGTCCGGCAGAAGTTTGATGGCCGTTGGTGGTCCGTTCTCCTTCCGTCGTCTCATTGCTGATGCCGTCGTTCCCTTCATCACCTCCTCTACGTAGAAGTCCCCTGTCACGGTTTGGCCGCGGGGCACGATGTGAAGGTCTGACAGGCCACGGAAACTCATCATGCCCCACACCAGGACCTTGCCCGGCTGCTTGACGGTCTCGATGACAGGCACTTCTGAGCTGTTCTGAGCCCAAACACGGTCGTTCTGGCGGTTGGGGGGATGAAACAGCTCAAAAGGAGACTCGTCGCTGAACAGGACCCGCCTCCAGTCCTGAATGGACCAGTTGATCCGACTTTTAGCGAAGTCCAGCCGTTTTCGTCGCTGTGCTGCCGTCAGCTTGGGCTCCACACGCGGTTTCAGCGGCTTCAGACGGAGGCACTGCCGCAGATACCGGTGGACAGCTGACTTGGAGGCCGGATGATTTTTTGCACTGAGTTTCCGCGCCAGTTTCCGTGTCGACTGGTGCCGTTTCGTAACGGATTTCGCCACCACGATTTTGGCCACCCGGCTCATCGCTGTCTTCCTCCCTCTTCCCCCGTGGTTCTCCAGTGCATCTCCCTTGCGGTCGAGGGCCATCCAGCGTCTGAGGGTCCTGGGCTCTATCCTTAGCTCCTTGGCTACCTGTACCTGGGGCGTGCCGCCGTTGACCATGCCGACAGCGCGATAGCGAGTCGACAAAGGGTACTCCTTCGCCATGGCTGATATGCAGTCCGCGCGCCTCGCGACCCTCTCGGTAAATGACCTCTGCCGCCCCGCCGGGTCCTGGGTCGGCTCACCTGGCTAGGTCACGTGACCAACAAACACGTGACCGTGCCCCAGGGTCGGGTCCCGGTAAAGCGCCATTGGTATACCGGTATTGCTCTGAGGAAACGTAACGAACGGGAGAGGACATCAATTTCGGGACACCCTGTACTTTTGCGTTTTTCCGTTGTATCATTTGTATGTTGATTGTCGTTAACGACTAATTTGAAATGTATCGCGTGATTATTTGATAGTTTGAATATTTGATGGCTCATTGTTCGTTGGCGTATTGTTAGAAGGCAATTTCTGTAATACCAGTATGTTCAATAAGTAAGTTCCGTTTTGATATAACTCGTTTATTTTTTGGCACATCTCAACCAAACATGGCTCACGGCTCGACGAACTCGCCCTGCAGGCATACGCATCGTTCCCATCGCTTGGCCAGGTCCCGGATGGCCGCACGGAAGCTTTGAGTGAGGGTCTTTTCGCCATACTGGTAAAAAGCAGACCCGAGTGCAGACCGCGAGCCGAACCTCCGGCCCCGGAGATTTTATTCATGTCTGCGAACAGCCAATAGTCACTGCGTGCAACGTCTGGAGAGTAGGGATGGTGTTAGAGCACCTCGATGCCCTCTGCCTGCAGGGCATCCCTCGCCACGAGGGCACGGTGAGGAGGCGCGCAATCCTGGTGGAGGATGAACCGACCACGGGCCTTCTCGGGGGCGGCAACTGGCGATTACTGGCAGGAGATGGTCTCTAATGATCCTGACGTAGGCTTATGTTTAGGCTTTCTGTTATCGCCTGGACAGTAATCTTTCTGTTGGCCATCACCATCTCCTCCACTTTGGCGACGTCAGTATCTGTGACCATCGTCCTCAGCCTGCCTGCACGTGCCAGGTCGCGCACGCTCTCCCTCCCCTCCCCAAACTTTTTCTTCCGCTTCCGAACTGCGGAATCACTAAGAGCATGGCAGATGGTTCCCGTACACATTCACGAAGTTGGCGTGGATGTTAGCTGCCGGCTAGCCCTGGATAGCTAGGGATCTTATCACTGAACGTTGATCTTCTCGGGTGGCCGATGCCATTTCTAAAGCAGTCTAAAAAAATGGTGTTATTTGATCTGCTCCATATCGTCACAGAAATGGAATAAGAAGCTGAAAATACGGTCACTTCGACATAAAGGTCTGAATTCTAATCCCTGAAAAAATCGCGTGCGTAGACCGCGTGAATTTTATGTAATTGCTCTCCGGAACTTACTTATTGAACGCACCTAGTACTTCTCAGTACTCGTTAGTTGTGTGACGTGCCACCTGGCTCTATGCCCGGCCATAATTCTGGATCATTCACGCTGATGGCGGCAAGGACGACTGCCGCCTCTTTTTTATGTCTCTCACATGCCCAAACCGTCGGTAAGAGTCATCTGTTTGTTAATTGTTATTTATACGTTAGTTCATGAGCTAGGGAACTGAATTTGTGCGTCATGAGTAGGCTTTGTATGCTTTGTTGCGTCTGTGTTCATACACTGAAAGTTGACAGTGCGCCAGATATGGCTGACTTTAAAACCACGCTACAATACATTAGCATGAGTCAGTCGGTGAATCTGTGAGAATCTACTGTTAACGCCAGACCCCTTGAGACCCTAATTTTTCGCGATTATTTTTAAATGCGTGGAAGTTTTAATCATATTTAGGAAGGAGCTGTTTCAAGACCTGCCGAAACTTTTCCTTCAAATACATTTTGTTGTCACTTAAATATTTGTGGCACTTGTCATTGACTCGTAATGTTAACTGTTTTTCCATCCTAGATAGAGGCTTTCATACGTCATATGACATTAGGCTCCGCCCACGACTGCGGCATTGACCCGTGCCCATCAGCGACCTCTGTACAAACGACACCCCTGCCATCTGTAAAGGACTATGAATTTCGCTGACGCTTCACGTGCTATGAATCAATTGCAGCAGACGGTCAAGTAAATGTTAGGCTCTTGTTGACTCTTATATACCTATATGACCAAGAAGACCATCACTCCTCAACCTACTACTCACACGTGCTTCGAACAAACGTTAACGATTCCTAACAAATACGATTTTCGATGTAGGATATCTGTTTGAAATACGAGCGAGCCTTGTGATGTGAAGCGAAAGCAATTAACTAATTATTGCGTTGTTCGATGGTTGCATAGCGATGTACAAATCGGCAGCTACTTGGTGACATCCGACATCCCATTATCGCATTATCTGCAACGTCATAGGCTTTAAATACAGGTGAATATTTCCTAACCTTATGTCAGTTATAGGTATGCCATCTGCCAGTCATCTGCAGCTTGTAAAAAATAAAACAAATATCAGCGAACATATCAGCATTGTACAAGCAATGCGCGTTGAGCATTTATGGCTCCTCAGTCATCATGTCGCTCTTTGGGCACTGTCAGCTAAGACGTTACGCACAACTCCGCCGGCTTTCGGCACCGCTCGACCGTCCCCGCTCCCCGCCACAGCGAGAGTGACAGCGCGCGCCGGCCCGAAACCGCCGCAGGCCAAGACCACACAGGCGGGGCTTAGCTGTGACGTCATAACGTATCACAGACTGACTGGTGATAGCCTCTACACACTGGGTGAAAATCTTGCTCGAAATTTAACATTACGAGTCAATGAGAAGTGCCTGAAATATTGAAATGGCGATAAAATATCTAAATTGTAAAAGTTTCGGCAGGTCTCGAAACGGCCATGTCCTGAGCTTGGTTGAAATTCTTCCACGCACTTAAAAATAATCGCGAAAAATTAGGGTCTCAAGGGGTCTGGCGTTAACAGTAGGCGTACTGCGCCTATATGCAATATATGATGCGTGAGCTACATGGCCCGGCATAAGTTTTATCCTCTCAAAAAATGTGCTTTCTAGGTTGCTACATAAAAGACTGCGATTCTCTTCGGCATTCAGTTTATTCCCCACGAACAGGGATTTACATACGAACGCAAATTTGCATGCTGGTAACCAGGTTGTGCAGGTAAACACAGCTGGATTTTTTTACCATGCCCGTTTGAGCTGTAACGACAAGGCGCCAAGGCTGGCCGCCAGCTTCCCTTTGTCCAGGTCCTGCTGGACGATAGCCCGAAGTTCGTCGATCAGGATGGGGTCCGGATGATAGCCGGCTAGCACCTCTTTCCTTCAGAAGTTCGGCACGTTCAATTCGCACCACCGCTAGGCCTTGGCAGAGCGGTGAGCTGGCGCGCCGTCCTGTTTGAAAATGCATGTCGACATGCCATTTACCAGACGTTGACTTAGTATTGGGCCGAAGGTAGGTAATGAGCCTCGCAGAGCTCTTCCAATAGCGCCTCAAGATCCTGTCTGGAGATGTGATAGCCCTTCAGCGCGAGCCGTTTGGCCAATTTTGTCGCTAACTGCTGGCCCCTCCTCCCGGCCGCCTTTTTCGATGCGATTTCTGTAACTGTTGAAATGGTGGGCACTTGCCTGCAAATTGGAACGATCAGCAACGCTGCCAGCAGCTGTATGCTTATCCCACCAACACCGGTCTGTGCAGGCAGTTCGCCCATAATTAAGCTAAAAGCCTTGCAAACAAAAACAACAGGCAGATGTCCCAACTGATCAGCAATGGCACGCTGTGTCATTTCGGCCTGGAACACGCCGACTGTCTGGTTCAGCTCCCTTGATAACAATTTCAGACCTTCACGTAGCGACGCAGCCGTTCAGGTGGACAATCTGTGTGAAACTGGCCGTAGCTCGGTGACCCGTGACCCGAGGTTCGTTTGCCACCTCATGACCTGCGGCCAAGGACCGTGCAATGCAGGAGTGCAGCCTGAATCGTCATCCCTCAGGTGTAGACACGATTAGGAACCAGAAGGTGTTTTCATAGGTAGTTAACAAATTCTTTGCCGAACCCTGTAGTGTCGTCCTGTAATGTCTTTCATCGTCAGCGAGTCACTACATGGAGTTAAAATGGCGAGCGGCCCTCCCACCGGAATGATGAGCGTCCTTCTCTGTCCAACATGGCGTTAATTTCCGCCTAAGCTCCACTGTCCCGCTCAACTGCTATGTCATTCGGCACAGTCTACAAGTACAGGTGACTGGTCGCGAGATCGGAGCTCCGTAGCACCGAGCGAGTGTGGCGAAGGTGGGGGTATTCACCGCATCAAACCTATAAGTCGCCTGGACCCTTATCTTACCAATAGTACTACTCGGAAGTCGGAACACCCCTGACCCCCTGATATAGCTGGTCTCGATTTCAGTAGGATCCTGACCTGACCCTTTCAGTCGCCCCCCACCCCACCTGGGAGCTCCATCTCTGACACCCAGCCACTTACCCAGCAGCGGCAGAACGTGTCGCACCACCGAGGTCAGCGTGGCATGCAGGTCCAGCCGGGCGTAAGCGGCCATGCATCGGGCCGCCATGTGCCGCACAGACTTGAACTGGCTGCCCAGAAACTCGCGCAATCGACCCAGACGACGCAGCGCCTGCCGATGCAACAAAGCAAACAGTTCAGTCATCCCATCAGGGGCGCCCATTTTTTTTTCAAAACGATTGGAGTGCCACTGCCCAATAGGTATCTGCAGCTGCTAAGGAGGGCCACTTTGTCATGGGACATAAGTCAGGTCTAAGGTATAAGGTCCTAAGGTGCATGGCCCCGCAGCTGCTACTGTGCAGAGGGCTACAAAAAGTCCCTGCTCCAGAGGCGGCCGGCCGGCGCGAATCCCCCAATTCCTGCCACAATTCTAATAACCCGGTTTACATAGCATATTTGACGAGGCTCTAGCTCGTTAATTTGGCGATAATTTCGATGCAGTGGTCTACAAATATTTAGAGGGGATCATTTTGTAAATTGTTAAGCACCATTGGCATCTTTTGCAACATCACGGACGGAGATATTGTGGCGGCCCAGACAAATAGATAAAAATGATATAATTATATTGAGACGGAAATAAAGAACATAACAGTTTGAGAGTAGGTCGCACACTGAACTAAAAACAATTTCCAACATCGACGTTGACTCGGTTTTCTGAGCAAAAAAAAACTATTGCTTTTCACTAGCGCAGCAACAATAAAAAAATAAACATGAATCAAATAAGGCGTGATAAAATAGGAACAAAGACCTCTAATAAAAGGAAGTACGAACTCGCCACAACACTCCCCGCCCCAGAGCGGAGCTAGAAAGTAAGATATAGTAAATTGCTAAACAAAATCGATCACAAATTGTCATGCAGAATGGGCGAAGACCAGCTCTTGTTAACCTGCGCCCGGCTGGGGGTCCTGGATTTCCACGCCCTGCTGGGGGGGGGGGTGTTTGAACACCCCCCTTCTAACTCGGCTCCTGGGCCACGTAGCGATACGCGGAAGGCGGCGTTCGAAAGAGCGTCAAAAATAATGACGAAATCACTTCCGTCAATTTTTTGGTCAGGTCAAAGGTCAGGTCACCAGAGGTCATTGAAGGCAAAATTTCGCCGATTTCCAGGTCGAATGTCGACAATTTCCAAGAAGCCAACGCATAACTCGGGAACCAATGGAGCTACAGCGCCGCGGAAAAACGCATTCGATAGCCCTATTAACGCCCTTTCTGAGAAATTTTCTCAGATTTGACCTAACGTCAACGGTTTTGCCTGCAGGGGGCAAAAACTGCAAAAATAGCCGATTTTTTCGGAAACAGTTTTTCTGTAATAACTTTTGACCCAAGCCTTGCACGAGCTTACTTTTACCGGCATCGTGTTCCTCTCGTCAAGACGCATCGAATGAACTATAACTTGACCTTGAAAGGTCAACTTGAAAATTTGACCTCAGGTCAAGGTCATGACCTGACTGGAAAGGGTCATGCTGCATATCAGTCGATCCGTATCGTCGAGCTAAACACATATAAGGCGTTTTCATCGCTCTAGCATGCCTCTATCAAAAGTTATTTGCGAAAAACTGTTAGATACCATTCGTGACCTAAGATGACCTCAGGGCATAAACAGGGGTCACGGACACCATTTTCATGTTCAGTGTGTCTCAACCACTTGTAATTCGGTGTTTGGGAGTGTTTATAATGTCTTTCGTCCAAAAGAGGCGCATTTCAATTTTCTCCCATTGACTTATAATGGGGAGGTCGCAAAATTGACCTGACCTTAGGTCATCGATATCAAAATTCTGAGATATACATTCTGCACATCCTATTGCTCTTAGCAATCGCTGAGAGTTTCAAAGCGATCGGTCACTCGGTGTAGCTATGACAGACATTGAAACTTTTTATGAGGTGAGGTCACTTCAAGTGACCTGGTGACCTGACCTTGAATGACCTTGGTCTGAAATTTTCACAACATGTGTAGAATTGATGTATGATAAGGTGTACCAAAAACGGCGCCGTTTTAGAGATATTTGCGAAAAACCACAAGGGGGGTGTTCAAACACCCCCCCCCCCCCAGCAGGGCGCGGGTTAATGGTGGCACAGCGCCTGCCGCGTCGGACGGGAGCGGCGATAAAACGGCGCAGCCCGGAAACTCCGGCGACGGCGACTTGCGACTCGCTGACTTGTGTTCTGCGTTTCGCGGCGACGTATAGGTTCATGTCGTTGACGAACGCTTGGGTATGTAGATAGGTAGGTAAGAAGATAAGAAGCACCGCGATGGAGCAGGCGGCGTGGCTCAGCGCGGCCTGGATCCACCTTGGTTAGGCCACAAGTTAGCGGAGCCGCTCTTGGGAGAAGCGAGCTTGAGGAACCGGTGCGGAGGGAGGCGGCGCGGCGTGGTTGCGGCGCGGCCCGAAATCTGACCGGCTGTTATTCAGGTGATCGTTTTGGTCGGATGCTTTCTTGTCATGAAGAAGTATGTCGTTTTCGTTTCGATGATTGACATTTCCTCATTCTTATTCTTGATGTCGCGTCGAAGGACAGACGTCGACATCGAATAGATAAATAAAATCTTGAAGATCAATAATTTACTGTTATAAGATAAAGAACGATCACGTCGGGGTCACCAATGTGGCGGCCGAGACAAATAGATAAAAACAAGATGTCTTGCGCTCGCTCCGCGTCGCTTTGGCCATAAAATGGTTCGGGGGAAAATTTGGGGTCGAATAGTGTTTGTCCCGTGGCGATCGGCTTTCTAGAAGCTGAGATAATCGCGAAAAACCTGTTCAGGCTGCAAAAGTAGGTACTCGGTACTTGCTTGGTACTTGGGAAAGTACTTGGTAGTTGCTTGGTACTTGCAAAAGTACTTGGTACTTGCTTGGCATTTGCCAAAGTACTCGGTACTTGCAAATGTGGTACCGTAAGGTGGGGCTATTTGAGACAGTGGGGCTATTTGAGACAGTATTTAAAATTTGTTATAAAATAAAAACCGTTTGAACTTTTTGCTTAATTTTTGCTCAGGCGATTTACTGCTCGATTCCACACCTTCCTGAGCAAAAATATCACATAAAAATCAAACGCTCTTCATTTTATAGCGATTTTAAACACTGTCTCAAATAGCCCCACCGTCTCAAATAGCCCCACTTAACGGTACTTGCTTGGTACTGCAAAAGTACTTGGTACTTGCTTGGTGCTCGCAAAAGCACTTGGTACTTGCAAAAGTACACCGATACAACCAGCGCCTCCACGATCGTTACAAGCGCCTGCCGCGGCAGGCTATGGCGACAGTGACTCAATCCGACGAGCATGCCGGTACAGCGCCGAACGACATCGTCAACATGTGAAGCGAACGTCATTTGCTGGTCGAAAACTACTCCCAGGTTCTTCAAACTGGGGCAGCCGGTGACGGTGGATCCCATGAAATGAACGGAGATGGTGGGTAGTTGTTTCAGAATTTGTCGTGAGCCAAATACTATGAGTTGAGTTTTGTCTGCGTTAATTTTCATGCCATTTTTGCAGAACCATTTCGAAAGCGAGTCTAAGTTGAGCTCCATCGACCGGACAAGGGCGGCACTGTCATTCGGTCGTCCAAACACTGCCACCTGACAGTCATGCGTACTGGACAAGACAGTCACTGTGTGGAAGCGAGTCATGCCTGTGAGTGTGCAGAGGCAGATCGAGCGCATAGACGGAGAACATGAGTGGGCCCAGGGCCGATCCCTGGTAGGTTCCGATCGGGTTCAGTAGCGGCTGTGATGTGACTCGTTCGCCATCTGGTGTCTGAATCAGGACTCGCTGGTAGTGGTCTGATAGATAGCTGCTGAACCATCGAGTGTCCACGTTATACAGATGGAGTTTCCAGAGCAGGCGGTCATGCGGAATTACATCAAAACACTTTGACATGTCCAACAAACAGAGAAGTCCGATTTCGCGTCGATCTATGGCTTCTAAAATTCGATCAGAGATAGTGACTATACTCTGTTCCGTTTCAAGTTTGCAGCCGAAGTGCCCTGCTGAAAGCAGTGCGTGATTTCTGTATATACAGCTCTTACGTTTTAAGACGCAAATTTTGAGCGGAGGAGCGATCTGCCGAAGAAACTCCGACTGCAAGCTTGATATGGAACAGACTATAGTGCTGTTTCGGTTGAATGATGTGCCCTAAAGCCGTGCTGGTGAGAAGAGAACAGGTCATGTGAAGTGAAGTATGAAGACAGCTGTTCATAAACTACACGTTCTGTTGTATTTCCACCGTGCTTGCGCCAAGCCTCGTCAATACCGACTGCCCGGCCGCCTACTCCGGCGCCGGGCGCGAGCGCGGTTGGCCAGCCGACCACTAGGTGGCGGGGCGGCAGGACCCGCAGACAGAACAATTCCTCCCCTCTTAGGTAAAGCACATCGGGAGGAAACAAGCAACACGTAAGAAGCTGGTAAAACGCAAAGCAAGCAGTACATAAGGCCGTAAGAGGCACAGAACAAAATATGCGATCAGCATTTTCACGATGAAGCACGTTACAGTATGCCGATCACATGATCAGACGGTCAGGGGCCCGTTTCTGACGAACGGGGCGGGCCAGAGTCCCTGTGCGCGGCGCGGGTCCAGGGGTCAGCGCCGGGGACGACCGAGACGGCTCGGCCGTGGGCGGCGCCGATGCACGAGCGGGCGACGACGGTGCACCAGCGGGCGGCGGCGGCGGTGCACGAGTCAGCTGATCCGGACCGGTGTCAGGTGGCGTCTGGCCAGGCTGCGGCGGTGACGGCCGGGCACCGGACCGGCTGAGGTCGGATGAGACGGCCGCTGGGGCCGAGGCCGGCGCGCTGCGGGCTCGGAGATGGGAGCGGTGACGCACGAACAGTCGGCCGTCCATTAGCTGTACCTCGCAGCTTTGACCGAGCACGGCGGCGACCGTTGCTGGTAGCCATTTGTCGACGGCGTTGGTGATAGCTGTTACGTAGACCCAGTCACCGACCTGAAACTGTCTGTCGGAGTCGGACTGGTCCGTGCGGTGTTTCCATGAGTGTTGCTGTCGAGCGACTTTTGCAGCGATATCTGGATGCAGCTGGTCCAGGGGCGTACGAAGTGGGCGGCCCAGGAGCAGCTCAGCTGGCGAGCGACCTGTGGTGCTATGCGGTGTGTTCCTG